ATGATATAATTTAAGTAATATCAAAAATATAATAAAAATAGAAGTCAAATGATATAATTTACTTTATATATTATATAACTAGTAATTTATTATTTTATTTTATATTCCAAATTAAATTTTGTTTCCAAACATAAATTAAAAGATAAAGGATGTAAATAAAAAATCAAAATACAAGAATTTGATATAAAAAAATTGATTTAAGCATTACAAGTAAATATAATATTTTTAAAAATTAAATATTATAATCACAAAATACATAAAAAGTTGTATTGTAACCAAAACAACATTTAAATTTGTAACTTACAAAACCGACATTTAAATTTGTAGTTGAAGTAGGAAATTTGAAATGAAATGTTTTTTTTTCACGACTTTATATTTGTGGATGTATTGTTTTGTTATAAAGTAGTATCCCACTATATATTAAATGAGAAGTCACTTTAGTGATTTTTGCTTAGCTGTCACTCATATGTGAAGTTTAGAATTAATTCTCTTAATTTGATTGGTTGTTGATATTTAATTTTTCATTTATTTAAATCAAAATTTTAAAAGGAAACAAATCATAAAGTTACCTAATATAATATATGTTACCAAATAAACAATCAAACATCTTAAATTTAAATGAATTAACATATTTTTTTTTGTTAAAACAATTGATTATCATAGATTACCTACGTTATATAAATTTATAATATAAATATAAATACATATCATACTACATAAACAATTATATAACGGTTTTAAAATATTATATTTATAGTGTATATAATAAATCATAGATTACAGAAAACTAATAAATAGAACTAATAATATTTCTACTCACTATATACATATATTATAAAAATGTGTCAAATGAACGCAAATAATCAAAATATATAATTTAAAAAAATTCCAATTGACAATGTGATATTATAGTTGAGTTGTCATTTTTATAAATGATAGAGTATTTTTTATATTTAAAATATCATATTCCGATCCCACTATATATTAAAGGAGAAGTCACTTTAGTGACTCCATAACCAGATAGCAGATAGATTGTCCAAGACGGCTTGAGCTTTCTTTAAAATTTTAATTTTTATTGGTTGTTCTATTCCGGTCTGAATTCTTCTATCATCTCAAGTTTGAGTAATTTAATAATATTTAGATGTCAAAAAAAGAGAACATCAAAGTTCTAAGTGTATAATTCTGGTCACCAAGATTTTATAATACAAATATCTCTATCTTTTAATTTATCAATTAAATATAATAATGGCTATGGTTAGACATACAAAAATTGTGTTTTTTCTCTTATGCTAAAGACTTAAAAATTATTTAAATAAACATGGCGTATCAAAGTTAAGATCATTCACCTGTGGATGAATTTTAACAAAGAAACCAGGAAAAATCATTAAAATGATTTCATCGATAAGGAAGTAGATAGTTATTATTACTAATTCAAAATTTAAATGGAAAAGTAATTTTTACTAACATTTTGTTTTTTCCTTAAATATATTTTGAATTGTAATGTTTTTTCGTAGCTACTAATTCTACTAAATATTTGCATGGTACTTTATTTTATTTTTAATTGATCCACAGAAACCTTTATATGTTCAAACATGTGACAAGAATTCATGCTTCAATTGAATCAAATCTGATAAAAAATATGAAGACGATCCAGACAACGGTCATGCATGGTCGTAAGATTATTGATATGATACTTAATAAGTTGAGTTAGTAATTTAATATTTTTTTTAAGTTAAAAGTTATTTTTTTCATTTTTATCAGATTATACAAAACAATTTTTACCTTTTTAGTTGACAAATATGTGTGCTAATATTTAGTTATTTAATAATATAATTATATTATTACTATTTTCCTATTTTATTTCTGAAAATTGTTATTAGTATTAACTTACTATGTTTATTAATTATTTAAAATATTAAATAAAAAGAATATAAAAATAGTATATTTTAAAACTGAAATATTTTTCTGTTTTATTAAAGTTGGTATTTAGTCATATAAAGTAAAATTCACAAAATGTTATAAAAGATAAAATATATTTATGGTTTTTTTGGTGTAAAACCGAAAGAACCGAAAACCGACTGTATATATACCAAACCCAAATAAAGTCTATATGTTTTTAGTATGGTATTTTTTTTTATAAACCAAAATACCAAAAAATCAAAAAACCAAACCGAAACTGAACCAAAATCTAGATTGAACACCATTACTACTACATCATCTTTTTCTGGATCCTTTGTTCTTAAGGAGTAGTTAATCAATAGAGATATCATTAATATTACTGAAGTATATGAACTAAATTTTTCATTGTTTTATCCAGACAACATGATAAGATTTTCTTTGATAAATTTGCTAATTCCCAGATGAAGATTTTTGACATATTGTCATTTAAAAATTGGTTGGGACTTCCATTACCATTATGACTATCAACGTATCAATGCTGAATATAGATTGAACTGTTAATACTACAACAAAAAGTAATGCCTACAAACAATGTTGAGATATCCACCCTTTGTTTTTGTGCACTACATATGCAAAGCATGCCAACGCTAATTTTGTCGATTTTTATTCCCGCACAAGGTGCGGGAGAGTCACCTAGTTTTTTTTATAAATTAATGATATCATGATTATATTATCTATTTATTTATATAATTAACAGACATTTAAAACTTACCAAACCAACATTTAAATTTGTAGTGGAAGTTGGAAGTGAAGTTCATATGGAGACAATCGAGGAAGGAGGGTCGAGCAAAGCTGGGCAACAAAAAGACGATGAAGAAGCAGAAGACGATGCAGCCAGAGAACCTGTCGATAATGAAGTGAATAGGAGCAGGATGAGAGAAGCCAGACCAGCACCGTTAAATATTCTGGATGGAGTGAGGATCAACAACACAGAAGGGACGCCACGTTCCACAGTTAAAAGAGTACTTTTCAAAGGATCGAAGCAGACCGAGTTAGAATATAACAGAGAAATTCTCAAGAAAGCCGAACAGATGCTGATGGAAGCTTTCAGGGTGTATTATAAGAAGCTTCGGCTTCTCAAAAGCTATAGGTGCGTATTGGGACTGAGACTTTATATAAATTTATTTTATTTTTATTTTTTTATCAATCTTTTTTTTTATTGATGGGTTTTCAATCATGTATATGAAGCTTTTCAAATGAAAAGGCGGTCTCTAAGATATTGAAGAAGTATGATAAGGTATAGATTTGAGATTTCGAACTAGGGTTTATATTTTACATTATATGACTAAAATGTGTTTTTATAGATAACTTCAAGGGATGCAGCAAAAACTTACATGAAAGTGGTTGATATTTCAGACCTTGGAAGCTCTGATAAAGTAAGTGGTTTATGAGATTTTGCAGGATTGTCCCTGAAATTTCGGGGACCTGAAACAAAATAGAAAACGTGGGTCAGTATACTTTCATATGAACTTCACTTCTAACTTCCATCACAAAAAATAACAAAAACAAACTTGTAAAAATACTTTCAAATACAAAGTACTAATAAGACAAATTTCCTCACTGAAAAAATAACAATTGTCTATTTGAAACAAATTTAAAATTGACTCTATATGATTATTAAATTTTTATATATAATAGAATTGAATTTTTATTTTTTGGGGGCCTATAAAATTGGGGGCATGTTGCAAATGTTTCATGAGGCAGTGTTCAGGGCCTATCCTGAGATTTTGAAAAACCTCCTAGTCAAGTTCTCTGTATTTATTCTCTTAATCCTCAATTATGACAGGTTGTGCGACTCATGGAGCGTGTTGAAGCTACATTCATAAAGCATTTTGCAAAATCTAATCGAACCAAAGGAATGCATATTTTACGGCCTAAAGCGCAACGAGAGAGACACAGACTTACATTCTCCACTGGTAAAGTCAGAAACTTGCATCAACTGGTTTTTGAAGTTCAAACTTTGTGGTGCTTATTATGAACATTTCAGGTTTCTCGGCTGGATGCATATTCTCTCTTATAGTGGCTCTTGCTTCGATCATTCGCACCCGGAATATCTTGCAGGAGAAAGGCCAGAAGCAGTACATGGATACTATGTTCCCACTTTATAGGTAAGAAGATTGTAAAACTTAAATTCAAAAAAAAAAAAAAAAATTAGTAAACTTGCCATTTCTTCTGCTTAGATGTTGATGTTGTATTTGCTGTTTCTTGCAGCTTGTTCGGTTTTATCGTGTTGCACGTCATCATGTATGCTGCGAATATATACTACTGGAGGCGATACAAAGTAAACTATTCCTTCATATTTGGGTTCAAGGAAGGAACTGAACTTGGACACAGACAAGTCCTGCTTGTGGCTTTCAGCACTGGCGTCTTTGCATTGCTCTGTGTTCTTGCAAATCTTGACATGGAAGTAGATCCTGTAACCAAAGACTATAAAGAACTCACCGAACTTCTTCCTCTGATCCTACTTCTTGTAAGCTCCAAAACCCCGGGAACTGGAATTTTCTGTTTTGTAAACAAGATCAGCCATAAGAAAACAAAAGGCATCGTAATAACTATGCTGTATTTGTTTTGCAGGGTATATTTGCGGTTCTAGTCATGCCATTCAACTTCTTTTACCGGTCAAGCCGCTTATTCTTCCTCACTTGCCTGTTTCATTGCATAGCCGCTCCTCTTTACAAGGTAAACCAGATAAGCTCGTTGACCAAAGAGAAACAAGTCTTGTAAATTCATGTCATAATAATAAGTGCATTCCCCTCCCACAATTTCATCATGCAGGTAACATTGCCTGATTTCTTCTTGGGAGATCAATTAACTAGCCAGGTTCAAGCTTTAAGAAGTATCGAGTTCTACATATGTTACTATGGTTGGGGAGACTTCAGACACAGAAAGAACACTTGTGACAACTCTGGTGTGTACAAAGCTTTCTTCTTCATTGTTGCTGTCATCCCTTATGTCTCTCGCCTCCTTCAGGTACATACATATGTAACTTCTTTTCTTCTGGCATTCATTCATTCAGTAACTAAACATGTACTCAAATGCAGTGCCTGAGACGTCTGTTTGAAGAGAAAAACTCAGAACAAGGATGGAACGGACTCAAGTACTTCTTGACTATAGTGGCGGTTTGCTTGAGAACTGCTTGCAGTATCCAAAAAGGTCAAATCCTTTGGAAGGTTTTCGCTGCGATCTTCTCAGCTGCAGCTGCCATATTCAGTACTTACTGGGACTTTGTCCATGATTGGGGCCTTCTTAACCGGTCATCTGAAAACCGCTGGCTTCGGGACAAACTCCTTGTTCCTCAAAAGAATGTATACTTCATTGCAATGGTGAGTCTCAAAACCAACAAAAATATATATTTTTTGGTGTAGCCAACAAAAATATTTGATTCCATGAAAACATGTTTCACAGCAACTGATGTTTTAAGAAAACGTATCAGATATTGAATGTCCTTTTGAGATTTGCATGGATCCAAACGGTTATGGATTTCAACTTCACCTTCATGCATACACAGACGATGGTTGCTGTTGTTGCTAGTCTTGAGATCATTCGTCGTGGTATATGGAATTTCTTCAGGTGAAAAAATAAAACCCTCAAAAATCATGCTAATGGTTCCATAATCTGTTTTGTTTCACTAATATTCAGTTAGTAACTCTCTGTTTTTCTTGCTCTTTTGATCTGGTTCGTGAAAAACAGATTAGAGAATGAGCATCTGAATAATGTCGGGAAATATCGAGCCTTTAAGTCTGTTCCATTACCGTTCACCTACGGTGAAAATGGAGATAAAGACGATTAAAAGACCGTGAATGTACTCCCTGCTACCAAAGTCCAATCAAACTGCATTCAGCATACACTGTCTTATCCTTTTTTTTTTCTTTTTTCTTTTTCTTGTTGTCAGATAATAAATGTATGGATGCATCAAATTCATATAAACATTAGTTCGATATCTAGTGGTAAATTGTTTAAATAAAATAATATTGCAACCACCTCCTTTCATGAACAAGTAAAACCCGCACTCTCTTTCTTCTTCCTCTTCGGCGTCTCCTCGTTCCTTTAGACTAAAACCCTTATGTGATCATCATTGATTTTAAATATTTTTCATTTATTTATACATACTTAACTTCAGGCCTAAGTTTATATGGTGTTATGTTCATACAACAAGTCACAAAAAAAAAGATTTCATATGTTTCGGCTAAAATCATGTTGCCCCTTTTGTTTTCTCACTTTATTGGAGGTTAGTTGCAACTTTCTAGAATTATGTTAATTCTTTTGTTTTCTCATCTTGATGGTTTGAGAGTCGGTTGGTTATAGTTACTTGCAAGTAAACTGACTTAGTTAGCAGGTTAACCAAAATACCACGTTTACTATAAACTCGTATCATTATTATGTCCAAACAAAAACAAATCATTGACTTATGTACTTTTGCAACTATTTTGTATGAGTCATATGGCATCTCAACACCCGGAATTTAAAACAAACTGAAACTAAGTTTGATACACTACAACTGAATATGATTTGTCCACAAAACAATTTAAGAAAAAGCTGCAAGAAAAGATAAATATTGTCAACTATTTTGTATGAGTCATATGACAAACATCTCAACACCCGTAATTTAAAAAACAAACTGAAACTAAACTTGATAACACTAATACTGAATGTGATTTGTCCACAAGACAATTAAGAAAATGCTGCATGACAAAAAAATATATCGTTGAGATTTCGACATCACAATATTTTTGTTGATTAAACAAAACTTTCTTGTTTGTCAATTCTTCGTTAATTTAATAACTTGATTGTTATACACGGAATATCACCTACATCAATTTGTTTTATTGTAACAAATATATGAAATAATCATTAGATAAATATTGGAGTCGTTTTCAGAGTTTGTCCAGTTTCACAGCATAACATATTTATAATATTTATAATTATACAAGTTTAGATTGACTTGGTCATAGTAAGAGTTCTAACTCTTTATAACTCCTAATAATAATAATTGATACAACATGTCAGTGTATATCATCAACTGTTTCAAATCTCCGATGAAGGTTTTATGGGATTTGAGTATGAAGATGAAGCTAACTATAACAGTCCTCACCTGCTTAGTACTTTGGTCGGTCATGTTAGTATCTTTCTCAAACCTCTTCAAAGGCCACCTTCTTGGCGCTATAGTCAACGGTATGATCATTTCTCAATATGGATTTGTTATTCAGAATTAATGATCCTACTTAGTATTTCATTTTCTTGTTACAGATTCAAATGATTCCGACAAACCTAGGGATAAACTGTTAGGAGGTCTTTTAACTGCTGATTTCGATGAAGATTCTTGTGTGAGTAGGTATCATCAATCTTCCTTGTATCGCAAGCCATCTCCTTACAAGCCTTCTGAATATCTTATCTCTAAGTTAAGAAGCTATGAGAAGCTTCACAAGCGTTGCGGTCCAGACACAGAAGCTTACAAAGAAGCAACAAAGAATCTTGGCCATGATGATGAGAACTATGCAAACAAGTCCGTTGGTGAATGCAGATACATAGTGTGGGTCGCAGTTTACGGTCTTGGAAACAGAATACTAACTCTTGCATCTGTCTTCCTCTACGCACTCTTGACAGAGAGAGTTGTTCTCGTTGATCAAAGTAAAGACATAAGTGATCTCTTCTGCGAGCCGTTTCCAGGTACTTCATGGTTACTCCCTCATGACTTTCCATTAATGAACCAAATCGATGGCTACGACAAAGGATACTCTCGTTGTTACGGAACAATGTTGAAGAATCAAACCATTAACTCCACTTCAATCCCGCCGCATCTGTATCTTCATATTCTACATGATTCGAGAGATGAAGACAAGATGTTCTTCTGCCAAAAGGACCAAACAATGATCAATAAAGTCCCTTGGTTGATTGTCAAAGCCAATGTCTACTTTATTCCATCTCTATGGTTTAATCCAACTTTCCAAACCGAATTAACCAAGCTGTTCCCGAAGAAAGAAACCGTCTTCTACCACTTGGCTCGATATCTTTTTCACCCGACGAATCAAGTTTGGGGTATGGTCACTAGATCCTACGATGCTTACTTATCAAGAGCAGACGAAACACTTGGAATACAAGTAAGGGTTTTCAGCAGACGCGCTGGTTATTTACAGCACGTCATGAACCAGATTGTATCCTGTACACAAAGAGAGAAACTGTTACCTGAATTAGCTACACTTGAATCACAAGTCACTAATACATCAAGAAGCAAGAAACTTAAAGCTGTTCTTGTCACATCTCTCTATCCAGAATATTCTAGCAACCTAAAGAATATGTATTGGGAACGACCAACAGCGACAGGAGACATAATACAAGTCTATCAGCCAAGTGGAGAAAGGTTTCAGCAAACAGACAAGAAGCTTCACGACCAAAAGGCCCTCGCGGAGATGTATCTTCTGAGTTTAACTGATAACATTGTCACAAGCGCAAGGTCTACGTTTGGATATGTTGCTTATAGTCTTGGAGGGTTAAGGCCATGGTTACTTTATCAACCAATGAGAGGCAAGACTCCTGATCCACCATGTGTTCGTGCTGTATCCATGGAGCCTTGTTTCCTTACTCCTCCCACTCATGGATGTGGAGCTAAGAAGAGAACTAACTCGGCCAAAGTCGTTCCTTTTGTTAGACATTGTGAGGATCTTTGGCATGATGGGCTTAAACTATTTGATGATAATAGGGATGAGTTATAGATGTTATTTCACTGAAAACAGAGAAACTTGAATGAATTTTTATTGTATGAAAGGCAAATTTATTTGGTTTTGAGTACAGATGTCTTACAAAAATATAAATTGATTCAATGAAAAAGTATCTTTAGTAAATGGTCAAGCATGGAATCGCCATTGTCAATATTACCTTCTTGTTTTGTTTTCTTTTGCCAGGAATCAAATATTAACTTACATATTAAAATGTCAATAAATATCACTAACTTTAATTATAATTTATCTTAAAATTTAAATTTATTTCTTTAAACTTATTTTTTCTTTTTGGATACAATCCGAAGCTTTCTATGGATATTTATTACTCCCTTCGTTTTTTTATATTTGACGTTTTAGAGGGAATTTTTTTGTTTCAAATTATTTGTTGTTTATAATTTTCTATGTAAAATTTATTAATAATTAATGTTAGATTTTCAATTATATTATAATTTTCTATGTAAAATTTCTTTATAACTTTTTGTCTTGAAAATGAAAAAAAATATTCAATATATATGCATAATCATAAAAAGACAAATATAAAAAAAGGGAGGGAGCAGTATTTAATCTGTTACGAATATTATAGAATAATCCATAAATGTTGCATTTAAATGCCTGTTTTTAATACTACCTTATTTAAATATAGTAATTAGCAGATTGATATCTATTAATGTAAATTCAATGCGTGTATTTACTGATTTTATATAGATGCGAACGTTGTAATTTAAATCTCTGATTTTGGTTTATGGTACCATTTTTATTGTTTTATCTACGGATGAATCGATAAGTTTTTTACTTTAATGATATAAAATGTCACTATCTAATATAACTTTTTAAAATAATACAAATTTTAATTTATTATTATCATCAATATCTAAATATATTTATTGTATGTAATTATATAGTTTTATTTTAGCAAAATAATACCAACTAACTACGTCTGATGCTAGGAAGTAGGTCAAAATCGGCCAGTCTAACCCGTTTGACCTGCAAAGAAAATATTTTTTACCGCATCCGTTCCACATAGTTTTATGGGCAATCCACATGACCCGCGAATAATTATTCAATAATAAAATTAATTATTTAAAAAAAAAAAATTTCTAAAATATTATATTAAATATTATATTTTAATAAAAATTTTAATACTTTTTTTTAAAAATAATTATTTTAAAGGAAATTTAGTATTTTTTTGAAAAATAAACTTAAAAAGAAAATTCTATTTGTGAAGATTACCGGGTACACGCAATTGAAATTAGAACAATCCACATATGTTCCGCATAAAATACATTTGATCCACATTTGCACCCGCAACTTAATTTTTTCAAATCGATCGATCTATTCCGTGGCGGGTCAAACAGGGTGGGACTCGCGGTAATATCAAAATTCCGAGCTCTAACTACACCAATTAAGGCTGATGATTTTATTTTTGAAAGAAACTTCAGAAATAATTAGAAGGTGAATTTGTCTCATTAATGAAATTCATTAGTATATATTTTTAGGGTAAAAAAAAATCAAATTACCATTAATGAAAAATTAATTTTGATCGTACAAATAAATGTATAATTGGAAACATAAAAAAAATTCATTAAACAGAACGTTTGTGTTTTAATGGTATTGATGATGAATATTTTTTAAGTTCTTTGTCTTTTGAATTAATAAATAAAAAAATCTGTTTTTTTTTTTGTTGACTGATGAACAATATGGATACCAAGCAAGCACTTGATTCAGACGATGAAGAACAAACATATTATCAAAGATCAATTCAACCAAAAGCAGATCAATGGAAAAAGGTACGTATGTTATGAATTAATATAATGTTTGTAACTTTTTAATTGTTTCTTGCTCATATTTAAGCTTACACTACTCAACTTAGGTAATTATGTACATCGAAACATGAATAAACAAAATCAGATGATACAAATGACATATCAAGATTCTATCAACATTGATCGAGTGCAATGGAAGAGCCTCCGCAAGAACTAAATTCACATCAATTTTTCTATCATCTATGCCTCTATAAATTCCAACGTCACTTTTGCGGCCAAAGGCGGATCCATCTTGATCAATAGTGGGCCAGGTCAAACAAGTTAAATATAGGAGCATCTCCATAAAGATATTCTATTTTAGTGATTGTAAAATTTTATTTTTAAAGTTTTAATGTGTTTTTCTTCAAAAGCAAAACTTCAAATCTAATTTTAAAAAATATTTGTATTTTACTTTATGATTCTTATATTTGTCATAATTAATAGAGTAAATTTGCTCAAAATACTAAAAGAGGTTGAATACCATTATTTTGGGGGAAAATATTGATGATGGAGGGAATAAAAATGGGGGGAAATAGAGTAGGGAATGCAAATAGGATAAATATGGTGTGTAGGGAGTGCAAATTTTCTAATTAATATAAATTCATAAATTTTTTTATAAATAACTAATATATATATAAAAAACATAACAATAACATTAATTAAAGAATATTTACTCTAAAATATAAAATTGTAAATAGAAATACATAAATAAATAATAAAATACAAACAAAATATTATATTATTTCATTAAATTATTTCCACAATGCTCCATCTTCAGTTACACAATACTTATTTGGATATTTAAATTTATCCATACTATTAATATTGTTTTAATATCTAAATTTATGCCCTGTTCGAAAATGCGGCTGAGTACGCGGTGGAAAGGCGCTAGCCGGTGAGCAAGCGAGAAGATTTTGGCATATCCGGCCAAAAACTCGGAAACACCACTTTTTGAGTTTTTATTGCTTAAAATCGAAGCTCTGATGATAGATTTATCATAAGTGACTGAAAACTATGTGAATAACAAAGAAAAAAGATAATAATCAATGAAAAATGACATTGACGGCTGAAAATTAGGTCTGAAAGTCGCAGGAAAAGAAGGTAGAAGACAGGGGCAAACTAGTAATTTATAGCTCATTTAAAGAAATGACGATATATAGCAAAAAAAAGAAGCTGGAAGTCCATCGAACCCAGGTTTAGGACAGCATATACAACTCGGAACACCACTAAACCGAAGCAGATTTACAGTTTTCAATCCATTATTTAATACATATAGATATATATCGATAAAATGGTAGAAAATTAATCCCCGATTAATCTCCGCCTAATTGATTAGGCGCTAGGCGCGGGTTGGCCGCACGCGTAGCGCCTAGCGTAGTTTCGAACATTGAATTTATGTAATAACTATGCTTTTCATGTAACTTCTTAAGAAGTTTTTTTTTAAGTTTCTTTTGTAATATTCGTGAAGTCTAATTTTAGTTTTAAAATAATATAAATTTTATTTTAAACTTTTTATGTATAAAAATTTATAAAAACAAATCTGAAATATTTATAAGGAAACGAGAAAATAGTGAAAAATCATAAATATAATATATAATTAATTGTAAGGACTAAAATGTAAATAAAAAGATGAAACTTCAAATTTAAAATTCTGAGAATTGAAACTTCAAATATGAAGTTTCACTCGTCAAACTTCAAATTTGAAGTTGTGACATTTCTTTTTGGAAAGCCCAAAACTCTATATTTAATATTATAGAGTGTCTTTTGAAGATGTTTTAAGTACCAACTGTTTTGCTTTATTGTACAAAAAATTTTGTAGGTCATTTAGCTTATATATCCTTCTTCTGACCCATCTAATAGAGGTTAGACTCTAAATTGTACTTTTTTACTTATTTTTTTTTTCATTATAGACCAAAACTCAATTGCTGACACCTTTTAAATTTTGGGCTAGGTCCGCCACTGTTTACGGCAGATGTCTATGTAATTTTTTTCAAATTTTTTAGAAATTTGTTGTAAATGTTTCGTTACGCATAATCTAGGACCGGTCCTGCTTCTGTCTCTATAAATTCCAACGCAACTTTGAAATTGATGTGGATTTAGTTGAACGAAGTTTTTCTAAAATTTTATCAACATGGTCATTTTGATAAGAAGTTTTCATATGGTAAAAGCATTCAAGAAAATTACTGTATTTTAGTTGATTTTTAAGGCTTCGAATGAGGCCGCTCTAGGAAGCTCGTGTTTGGCCTGTCAAACTATAGATAATAATAGATGACACCTCTGACTGATGACCTTTTTGAGAATAAGAGGAACAAATAGAAAATGAATGTATAAAAATAAAATAGTAGGAATAAAAATGAATGATCATTCCTTCTCAAATTTAACAAGGTTCTACAATTGAATTTGCGTGTCTATCAAGATAGAAAATGACCGGTTTTTGGCATCAGAGACAAATTTCATGTATTAAGCCATTTCCACCTAACTGCAAAACATAATTTTAGTGTAATTTTTACAGCAAAACTTATTCAACCTAACTCCAAAAATTAAAGTGTAACACTATAGTTTTACACCAAATTTAATATGATATTATTCACTAAAACACTATTCATTTATTTTATTAATAAAATCTACAATTAAATAAATAACAAACAAGAAATTATATATATATATATATATATATATATTTATAAAATAATTTTAGTGTTAGGACATCTCTAATGGTACACTCTTTTTTTCTCTATAATTTACTCTTAAATAGAGTAATTCTACTATAATGTACATTTTGCTTCAATGATTTACTCTATAATAAAAATATGTTTTAGTGTTAAAACTATATTAAAACAATGTGATTTTGACACCAAAATGGTGTTATGGATTGGAGATACATTTATAGTTTTGCTCTTGAGACAAATGATATTATTGGAATATGAGCTTCCTTTTCTTTATTTGGATATTTGATTATGACGATTTCTATGTTAGATAATAAAACAAAACTTACTTTCAGATGTGATAACTGATGGGTGAAAAAATATCCTCTATATACTAAAGCACAAGTCGGCTGACCAATCAAAAGCTGACATGTGGAAAAAAAATTAAAAACAATTTAAAATAATTGACATGTGGAAAAGGTTTTAAGAACAATAATAACAAACGGTAGAAAAAGATTTGTAATGACAAATAATTGTTGGACGGTTAAATACCCATGAATCACGCCATGACCACTCTCACGATCTTTGTGTATTATTAACTTGGTTCTTTTACTAAACACTAAAAAAACGCTCCATCAATTGGAAAGCAAAATGTGAGT